AAAAAATATATATATATTTTTTTTTTATCTCTAACCTGGCCCTAATACTCCATCATAATCGGTCAAGAATAGAATAGTTTTACAATAAATAACAGTCCTGAGTTTTTTTTATGGAGAGAAATGAGCTTCTCATACTATTTAAATCAAATATGTTTCAGAAAATAACATTTCGAAGAAAAAATATTTTTAAATAAGGGACTTTGGAAATGTTCTTAAACAAAGAAAAAGATTTATAGAATAATGTATAATTTTCATATAAAAGTTCAACTAGATATAGATTTTCCTTTTTGGACCTGGATCATCCTCTTCTGGTTGCATCAGCCATCTTCCATTTTTAGGTATGTTGGAGCTGCAACCAGGAAAGGGCAGCTTATTAAAAATAACAGCTCTATCAAGTGGAAGGAGACAATGGGTCTGAGTGAAAGAATGACATCACTGTGGGGAGTCTTCTCATGCATTAAGATGAGCTGGAGCGCAGCTTCAGTTACTGCTGCACCCTTGATCTGGTATTTTTTCCTTCCACTAAACTTTCTATGAATATAAAGCTTTGTGTCCTTCTGTGTTCACAGGGGGAATCAAAGGTTTTACCAGAAGAACCTGAAGCTGAGTGCTGCTGACATGTACCGCTGGAAACTTTCATCCCAGGAGCCCTGCAGCATGACCTGCTCTATAGGTAAATCCCTCTGGATCAGCAATCTACCCAACAGATTCATTTAGAACCAGACACCTTCCTCATGGGTAATGCTTTAATGCATGAAAATATTTTTCTCCTAATCCTAATCCAGGCGTGTCCAAGTCCTTTGTCACGTGTGTTCGCTACGATGGGGTGGAGGTCCATGATATGTACTGTGATGCTCTGACCAAACCGGAACCGGTCCATGACTTCTGCATTGGTAGAGAGTGTCAGCCGAGGTAGAGTCCTGCTGTTATATCCGCTCTCTGCCTGTTTGCATCAGTTTTTATGTGAAGGCGATGTTCCAGGTGGGAGGCGAGCAGCTGGAGCGAGTGCTCCCGGACCTGCGGGGAGGGATTCCAGTTCCGTCAGGTGCGCTGCTGGAAGATGCTCTCTCCAGGCCTGGACAGCTCGGTCTACAGCGACCTCTGCACCATGGCTGACCTGGAGAGGCCGTTGGAAAGGCGAGCCTGTAAGAGCCCCACCTGTGGCCCCCAGTGGGAGGTAGCAGAGTGGACTGAGGTAGGACGCCCCCCCAATCAGGTGTAGAAATCACTGTTGCAGATTGAAAATGCCTGGTTTTGTTTCCTGGACTCAGGACCAAAGTCTTCTTGAACGTTATTTTCTTGTATTTTTAAGTTATTTTTCGTCTTTATTAGCCTTTTAAATCCCTAGTTAAAGGCTACACGTTGCGTGTCATGTTCCATACAGTGCCCTGCTAAATGTGGACGTAAGGCTCAGGTGACCCGAGACGTCCGCTGCTCCGATGAGACCAGACCATGTGACCCCATGACCCAACCACCAAACGTAAAGAATTGCACCGGACCGCCCTGCGAACGCCACTGGACTGTGTCAGAGTGGGGCCCGGTGAGTCTTCCCAGCTTTCTTCTCATCTTTCTGCTCCTCTTTCCTCATCTGGAATCTGCGGAACCGTCTGACTCCTCAGATCTTTCTTCTGCTCAGTTTCCTGTCTGGCTGCTCAAACTGTAGAGATCCAACTGTTTTTTGGGAGCTTCACCAACACCTAGGGTATAGAGGGTCAGAGATCCTTAGAGATGAAGACTCCGTCAATGCTGGGAGCTCTTGGAAAGACTCTACTAGCATGAAGTCCATCCTCTTCTTCCATTTTCTTCCTTCTTGAACGTTCTGTTGTGACATTTCTTAGATCTGGTGTTCATGAGTCATCCAGTGAATCGTTCTTTGTGTCTGTGGCAGTGTTCTGGCTCCTGTGGCCATGGCAGGACGGTCCGCCACGTCTACTGTAAGACCCCAGAGGGCCGTGTGGTTCCTGAGAACCAGTGCCCCCCAGAGAACAAGCCTCTGGCCATCCATCCCTGTGGAGAGAGGGACTGTGCTCCACACTGGCTGAGCCAAGACTGGGAGCGGGTGAGTCCACCACACCAGAACATGAAATCCTCATCTCCTAGAAAACAGTTGAATTCCCTGTGAAGAGCCAGGAGAGTCCCTCTGCTTCTCTATCTGCAGTGCAACACCACATGTGGCCGTGGCGTGAAGCGGAGGATCGTCCTGTGCGCCGGCATCAGCGCAGGAAAGTTCGTCACCTTTGACGAAGAGGCATGTGGAGCCAACGAGAAGCCTGAAGAGGAAGCCACGTGCTTCGAAAGGCCGTGCTTCAAATGGTACACCACCCCCTGGTCTGAGGTACTTCTACTACCACCTCCTTCACTGCATCTGTTTGCAATTTGCAGGCTCCAAATGCTGGCTGGCTGGCATCAGTTTGAACTCTGATATGTCAAAGAGTTGATTTACAGACCTCTAGAAGAACCTTGATGTGTGTCACACTCGGTAGTTTTGATCCACTTTTCCTTGTTCTGTTTCTGTTTGCTTGCTCAGTGCACAAAGACATGCGGCGTGGGAGTGAGGATGAGGGACGTGAAGTGTTACCAGGGCAGGGAGCTGGTCCGAGGCTGCGACCCGCTCACCAAGCCGGTGGCCAAGCAGACATGCACCCTGCAGGCCTGCCCCACTGAGCCCCCAGGTGAGGAAGAGGAAGAGCTGAAAGAGTGAAGGTTTTTAAATAGGAGCTGTGTGATTGGTTGATTCTAAGAAATATTCGGTTTATTAAACCTATTTTTAACCAGGAAATTCGTCATTGAGATTAACAATCTGTTTTTCAAGGGATATCTGAGAAAAAATCTAATAGAAAAAGTAAGTTAGAAAAAAATTACAAAATATCACATCTAAAACTTTACATATAAACAGTTGTGGAAAGTAACAAAGTACATTCAATTGATTACTGTGATTTTTGGAGTTTCTTTGAGTATCCTTACTTGAGTCACTTTTTTTGCAGCTTCCATTTCCAGGAAGCTACTGGTTCCTTGGTCTTTTTTGTTCAGTTTAGCTTTTTAATCCATTTTGTTTGTCTTGAAATGTAGTTCCATCATGGCAGATAGCAGCCCTTAGGACTGAATCTGGATGCCACTGATTTAATGACGTTCCACAAATGAGAGAAACTCAAAGCAGATATTATTAGTAGTAGAAGTTCTTAAAGGTGGTGTAGACTCTATAGAAGGCGGTTCTATGCATCAGAATGCTCTGTCTTGTAGGAGCTTAGTAGGCAAAAGCAAAAAGAATGAAATTAGTTTATTTCTCCAAGGTATCCTGGTGTTAAAGGCAGCATGAGTCCATCCTTTGTCCAGCTTGTTTAACTGAGATGTTTAGCTACCATTTAAAGACATACTGTCAGACTATATGCCACTTTGTTTCAATTTAGCGGACGCTAACTGAGATCTAGCTCTCGTCTGGGTGCTGTTAGCGGCACTTTTAACGTCGTAGGGAAATCGTATTTAAATGTCAAATCATTCTGGCTTAAACATGTATATAAATATACTCTTTATTAGACCATATTGTCCCAAAAGTTAGAACATTTATATATTTTTTTAAAAATCCTGTCTTAAAATCTGTGGGGCAGGGGTTTCCGTTATCTTATGCAGGCCAGTTAGTTCTAAACACCTAAATTCGGCCAATCATATATCAACGGTCATCTGTCAATCAAATGTTTTCGGTCATAGCATCTTGATTCATAAGTCGCAGCTAATATACGCAACGGTTGAAATCAGAATCCTTTCCTTTCCCATTGAGTTGCGTCCCAGTGTTCACGGGGATGGACGTCTGTGTCTTCGGCAGGCGTAGAGCTAACAGAACTGGCAGCGTTGCGAGGCAAGGGCTCAAACATGTACGGCTGGAAGCCTTCTACACCAAACCAAGCTTCTGCCGCCCTGGCGTCCTCTTCCACAACATCTTCGTCCCCGCTTTCCTCCTCTAAATAAAAAATGGATGACGGAGGAGACTCATCCACGACCTCCGACACTAAACTCTCCTCCTCTTGCATGTTTCCGCTGTCCATAGCGTTCCTTGACAGCGTCGTTTCTAAGTCACCAATTTAGTGCTACTTGGTCCCAATGGAATTTCCCATTGGGACCTGCTAGCACTAAGATGCTAACTGGTTAGCAAGATGCTTCCGACAAACCGGCCACAACCAAATCTGCTTGCGAACCTTCCTCCACAACAATCCCGCCCCCTTGATAATCGACCAATCACATTCACTTTATTCACTCTTGTAAAGTCGGGCACCACTCGTGAGAATTCAGAAATCCAACGGTTGGAACAGCCGCTTCCCTACGACTTTAACAGGTGGTTCTGGAGCTGGTTGCTCTCAGAGGAACGTTAAAAATTGACTCTGTGAAGCTCACTAACTCACTAAAGCCTTCTCCGTCTACAGTGCTAATAATCTATTCTGTTTCTATTCTGTTTCAAATGTTCAGCCTAATGCCCTCCACTTCTATATCATCTTCTCCATCTGAGCTCAGCATAAAAGTTCTGCTTCTCCTCCATGGAGCACAGCTAAATGGGAGCTATTAAATTTATCCAGTGTTTATATTTATAAACAGGACCACACAAGGTTAATTCTGCATCCTCTTCGCCATCGAACAGTGGAAATAATTAATCCATTTATGAATTCCTTACATCGGTAAGGACACTTATGCCACAACAGAAGTGCATTTGGTTGTCGTAATAAGTGCTGTCCGAATAGTCCTGGTAGAAAGCACAAAGATCAGGAAGCAGGAGGCTTCCTAGCACCATTGTAGTTAGCATGGGGATGTCCCTAGCAACTGTTGGGAGCTTTATGGTTTCCCACAAACCTTTGCTTGACAGGAGGCCAACCTCAGAGAGTTTAACAAATGCACATTATTTTATGACATCTACTCTGTGTGACACATGCGATTGTGTGGTGGAGAGCTGTTTTCTCTTGCTGTTTTTTCAGAAGGCTGTAGTCCCAGTTTGACAAGCATCATCAACGTGTGTGTCCATCATGTAAAGACATCTGTTAGGCTGAAGGCTGTCTGAATTCAGCACGGCAGCCTTGAGCCGCTTTCCTATCCGTGAAAGAGTTGTAACTACATGCCGTATCTTTGTGCCACTGACCTAAACACGCAGTTACCGTTCTGAGCAACTAGTGAGACTGATGTGCTGAGTTTACACTCTGCCCCGTTCGCTCAGTACGTTTCTGCTGCATGCTCAACTCTAACAAACACGATCACAGAGATGAAGCTGATTGAACGAGCAGGGATCGGGCCGAGCGAGCACGGAGACCAACACAAAGTAAAGGAGTGAAGTAGGAGCATAGGTGGCAAAGCAGACTTGGTCAGAGTGGGGAGTGCGGCAGACTGATCTTGAGCAAGGTGGGAGTATAAAAGCTGTCCATCAGTCTCACTGCGAACTCAGACTCTTACTGTGGCACAAAAACTAAGCCATATAACTGTTGACCCCATGAAAGGTGAAAGAGTAGGAGCTACAAGTTGGAGCTTCTGCTCTGGCTTTACTTGTCTTGCAAACACCTGTGAGGCTACACTGATGCAACGTTCAGACCGCACGCTGAAGAAGCAGCAGAAGCAGCTAGTTTACATGCAAAGTCAATAGTTGACGTGCATCAAGGTGCAGCGAAAGGTTCTGCTGCACGAAATGTGCTGCAGAGCCTCACGAACTTCTGAGCATCTGACGCGCTTCAGAAGCAGCAGCTGCTGGAGTTGGAAAAATGTAACTTTTGGGACGGCAGGTCGTCAAACTGGGTTCGGGGTGAGACGACGGTAGTGCTGGAAGCGACCCTCGTCGGCTCTGAGTTCCTGAAGTAGATGGTGAAACTCTCCACAAACCGAACGGCTTTGAATTATCTTGTGAATCCAGATAGGTAGAAGACGCGCCCGACAAAGGTGTTCTCTAGCTTCATTCATTAAAATAAGCCCAGCGAGTCTCTCGATTTCATCCACCATTGTTACTGGCAAAGAAAGGATAGGGTAGCTCCGCCCAACGCGCATCAGACCCACTGGTTTACCGCGCAGCCAGAGCAGCAAAGATGCTTCAGCCGCACGTCAGAACTAAACTTTTACAAGCATAAAAAAATGAAGCTGTTTTTGCTGCTTCTGCTGCGTGCGGTCTGTACGTAGCGTTACAGGACAGCGGTGCCCTCTAGTGGACAACATTGCAAGTGAAAGAAATTCCATCCAAGCCGATGTTTTCTGTCAATCAGACGGAACAAATTTTTATCTAATGAACCCTAAATTGACAATCATTAATCAATGGTTTGTTTACGTCCCTAATCCAGATGAGAGCTGCCAGGACCGACCCTCCACCAACTGCCTGCTGGCTCTGAAGGTCAACCTCTGCAGCCACTGGTACTACAGCAAGGCCTGCTGCCACTCCTGCCGAGCCGTTCGACCGTAGGCGTCCGGGACACCCCACTGCAGCATCCAGCTCTCAGCATCACCATGAGGAACCACATGGCGCTTCCTGACCTGAGAGGGGCGCTGTAATCTTTATGCATACCGTGCACATTCTCCCTTCCTTCAAGCCCGCTCTGATTAAACCTTTATCCGGCTTTCCAGTTAAAATCATTGTTGATTATTTTGTACCCTTTTGTACGGAAGCCCACAGGGGTCGTCTCCCTTTGATACTTTTTCATTGTAGATTTCTCGAGAAAACAAGTGAATTTTATCATTATCTAAAGATAACGAAAGCCATTTTCTCGTGATTACGAGATGAATGGTTTGTGTTAAAACTGATTACATCCTTCAATACCACAACAGTAGGAGAGGATTTATAAGTCATGGCGGCCTATGTGTAATTCTGTAAATAATCCCGTGTTTAAGTTTTAGGTAACGAGACGATGTTGCTGGTTTGATGATTTGCTTCCACTTCTGATTCATAAAGCTGTATAAATATTTTTGCCATTTACGGGCGGATTCTCCAGCTGTGTAAGAATTTTCCGATCGGGCCAACTTTCAGCCTGATGGTGCGTAGTGTAGTGTACGGGGGTAACAAGGGCCGATCTGCCTCTCACGACCACCTCCCCATCAGGAGTCGTAAGGTCGGGAGAAAACCAAACATGTTTGAAATTCAGTCGGCCATCTTAAGGTGGTCGTGGGCAAATCGCTCAGTGGGCAAACAAGGATTCTTCTTCTTCTTCTCAAAAGGAAAACCCAGCAGCATGGCGGGGGTGCAAGTGAAATGAAGTTCTTTCTGAAAAACTGACAGACCGTAGTAGCCACGTTAGCTCAGCCATGTCTTTGTCCAAATACGTCGTCTCCTTTTCTTTTTAGGGCTTTCAGCACTAAATTGCCCAAATATCCAAGGCAGCGCGTTTCACTCTAGTGAGCTTCATGTTCCTCTTCTAATGGTTTAGCTTCCAGATAGACGAGTCCAAGTAGCGCTGACTGCATCAGAGCGTCGGGTCGCACAGTGTGAGAAGATACATAGTGAGCTGTGAACTTTAAAGTCTTGCAGTTTCGTCGTACTGTGTGAGCTGTAGCTTTGTGCAACAACTGAAAATATCGTACAGTGTATGCTCGGCTTAAGCAATTAGAAATTAGCCTCCGACGCCTTAGTGCCCGTGTTCTGCAGGGATTAAATTATTCCAGCCCCAGGCCGGATTTCTTAGCCTGGATGCCATTCCGAACTTAGAACTTAAGTTCGGTCTAGCATTGCTCAATATTAGCGCGAGTATGCTAGCACAATATCTGGCGGGCCAATCAAATT